TCTCTAAATATAAAAGCTTGTTTTGTATTAATTTGATATTTTTTTGGTAATTATATCTTTAATTTCCAAGTTATTTTTTTTCTAAAATTTAGGTTCTGCTCATAGTGGGAAACAGGCTTTTATATTGTAAGAGAAAAGACGTTAATTTTTTTTTAAGTAACCAACTATGATCACATGGTCGTGTCATTCTTATCATTGTCATTCTTTTTTTTTTTGTGAGAAAGAGGATTTTAAGATCAGTGTGACAGTGTCATTCTGATTAGACAAAAACATATAAAACACGGACATGAAAATGCTGGGATTAGATTGAAGCATGTAGTATATGATTAGTCATCCATTTATGTAATTTTAAATAGTATTTCTATAAAAACTTGAAAAATAAAATTATCTATGCTTAATCATGCGGGATTAGTAATTAAAAATACGTTATCTTGAATATTTTCTTCCAAAATCAAAAGAGTGATGTGAAGGCCCGACTTCAAACGTGTAAACTATGATCACATGGTCGTCTTTCAATTTGAAAAATAATTTAATAGCTGAATACGATTTGAGTCTACCCCATACATACGTAATTTAACAGTGACATCATATTATTTTCCCGAATATTATAGATAGACTCACGAATTTAGACTTTCTTGGGTTTACTCGTATAGTCGTATAAATGCCTTATGAGTACGAGTAGTCTATCTATACACTACGTGAGAATTTTCTGCTTTGCAATATATTCCTGAACATATAGTTTAGTTTAGACTTTCTTTTATTTATTTTATAAAATTTAAAATATTTTTGTGGTTAAAAAACAATGGGAAATTATCTCGAAGTCAAAGAAATTTTGTTTTTCTGATAAAATTTGATAGGTTAATTTCACATTATGAAATAACTTACGCTGATATTTTCCTCTTGTTTACTTGCAAATATAGTCATATATTTATTTTTAAAAAAATATAGTCATATTATCTTTTACTACTGAAAACGATTTATGGCTTATGGGTGTTGTTAAAATAATCCACTACATGATTATGTATGTATATTGGTATTGTCACCTCACTTATTAATCATTATGGAGTTAAGATTTAATAATGACACATTATTCTTAATAAAAATATTGTTTAATGTGAATCTATAAATAAAAAAATTTAAAATAGATAAAAAAATAGTAGATAGAGAAAAAAAACCTATAGAATATATTCTACTACTTTTGAAAGGCTACCTGATAAAAAATTCGACAAACGTTCCCCAAACTTTAGACTTTCATCTGCATTATTAAGGATATTTGATCCAGTAATTCAAAACGATGTTGTTTAAAAATAGTTTATTAATAAAGAGATATTATTTTTTTCGATCTGTTAAACATTTCGATTCGAACCGCTTAAACTATCTAAAGATTAGACCTACAATTTATTTTGTAAAACGTGTTATTGTACTTTATGATCTCTGATATTTATTATTTCACAAGCTTACATCTTCTTTCATTAATATGCAAAACTGCATATCACAGAAATAACAAAGACTATTCTGACCAATGCTTGTGACATGAAATTATAATTACAATGAGCAAAATTCTCCTTTATTAAGAAAAAAACATTCATCAAAAAAGTATATTGACTAATAAATGTTTTGAAATAGCATACAACTGAAGAAGAAAAAGGAAAAAATATGAGTAATATGCAACAAAGTCTGCTTGCTAACCGAAATATTAATACTAACTACAATATAGTAAGAACTTTCTGATAGAAATTTCAAAATGATAAAAATTTGCTATTTTTTCATGGATCTATATCTAGATATTTTGATATTTGAGTGAATATCTTGAAGATTTCATATATGAAAACCATGGATCTAGATAGTTGTAATTCAGATCTGGATAGTTGCATGAATCCAAAATTATTATTTCAAATTTTAGATATATTGATTTGTTTGATTAGTTGTGATGCCAAAAAAAAAAAACAAAACAAAACAAGAATAGATAGAATCAGACAAATATATTTAAAGGGCAAACCAAAAAATAGTTGGGCTAAAAAATAAACCAATTACATCAAAATCTAAGTCAAAATACATTTCTTATCAACTCCATGTTGATTTCTCTCCTAACTCCCTTAATATTTCTCATAAAGTTTTACTTTAAAAGTTTTTCAAGGTAATAGCTGAGATAATTTGAGCATGTAAAGTGTAATGTTATGGATGCTAAAAGTTTTTTAAGTCTTAGTTTAATATTCAACAAAAACCATACAAATCTATTTGGACTGCACAAATTTTGTTCTCAAAGAAAAAAAATTTAAAAGTCAAATGAATTCCCAAGTGAAACGACATTTTAAAGCTTAACTTAAATCAGTAATTAATGATAACCAAAAGTTTGTGCTATAAACATATATATATATATATATATTTATATATATATCAAAACACAAACATTCATAACCCTTTCATAAACCAAATATTTAAAATCATACACATCCAAATAGAAATATCAAAATAAAAACATTCATAAAAGTTTGAATGACCTACTTGTCAAAACCATCAGAGAGTTCAACTGTCATTCGATTACTTAATTATAATTAAAGCATGAATGAACACTTTAGATATAGCAAAAACCACGACATTGATCCATCATAAGTGGAATCAAAGTTGTTTTTCACACTATTAGATGAAGTTGAGGCTTAGGATTGATTTTGACATTTAATTCATGAAACTGAAGCAGAAAGTGAGGATATGACTTATATTAATGATCTATTATGTTTTTGGGAAAAAGAAATATCAAAAGTAACTAGACTTTTGGTTTTGCTTTTAGTAAAAGTTTTTTTTTAATATCTTCTGATTATATTGGGCTATTGAGCTATGGATTATTGGGCCCAAACCCGCTACGGAAAAACTAGAGTTAATTACAGTATATATAAAAATTCATTCCTCCTGCTTCCCGTCCTCTCTCTTCCTCTCTTTCAAGTTGGCTCTCTTCTTCATCAGTTTCCCTCGTTGGATCAGTTTTTCATACGAATCCGATTAGGTTTGTTTGGATCTCAAAGTATACAGCATTATAATAGTTTTGATTGAAAAGTCAACTTTTGTATATTTATCAAACAGAATCTTGTTGATTAGGAACCCTAGATCAAGAGGCTTTTTATGGTCTTCTTCCTTTTCTTAAGCGATGTCATCGATGTTTGGTGTTTCTTTTAGCTATATAACGTTTCCGTGTTTTGCTGAATTGTTGTTTGGTGTTTTTTCTAGCTATATAAACTCTCGTTTTTTGCTGAGTCGTTGGGTTTTTAGCTGATTTGATACGATCTGCCTGCTTTATATCAGTGAAAAGGTTCAAGCTTCAGAAACAATGGCGGCTTTTCCCAATCTTAACTCTGATGCTGGATTGAAGAAGCTCGACGAGCATCTTCTCACTCGCAGTTACATCACTGGGTAAGATTTTGTGAACATAGTCTAATGTAGATTTAGATCCGAAATCTCTAACCTTTTGCGATCAGTAGGAGTAACAAATAGATTCCTTTTGTGTGTGTTTTACAGGTACCAGGCTTCAAAAGATGATATCACTGTCTTTTCTGCTCTTGCAAAGCCCCCAACTTCACAGTATGTGAACGCATCTCGTTGGTACAACCACATTGATGCCCTCTTGAGGATCTCGTAAGCTCCATCATTGTCTTCCCACTTATATATGGACTTAAGGTTCTTTGTTGTTTGGACATTGGATTAATCGAATATATGTTTCCTTGAAACTTGCAGCGGTGTCTCTGGTGAAGGAAGTGGTGTCATTGTTGAGGGATCAGCCCCAATCACAGAAGAGGCTGTGGCTACTCCCCCTGCAGCTGATTCTAAGGTACTTTAGATAGTTTCTATGGTTTATCTCGTTATGTCTCTTGTGATTGTATATCAGTAAGGCTCATAGGTATTTGTCAACTGTAGGATGCGGCTGATGAAGAAGATGATGATGATGTTGACCTTTTTGGGGAGGAGACCGAAGAGGAAAAGAAAGCTGCTGAAGAGAGAGCAGCTTCTGTGAAGGCATCTACAAAGAAGAAGGAATGTAAGTTTGGTGTTTTTGTTCTATACTTGTAGTTTACGATTTATGAAGCTTTCTTGGAATTTTCTGATCTGGGTCTTGTTGTTGTTCTTCGTCAGCTGGAAAGTCATCAGTTTTGATTGATATCAAGCCGTGGGATGATGAGACTGACATGAAGAAGCTAGAGGAAGCTGTGAGATCTATTGAGATGGAAGGGTTGTTCTGGGGAGCGTCAAAGCTTGTACCGGTTGGTTACGGTATCAAGAAGTTGCAGATCATGGCCACCATTGTTGATGACCTTGTGTCTATCGACACCATGATCGAAGAGCAACTCACTGTTGAACCGATCAATGAATACGTCCAGAGCTGTGACATTGTGGCCTTCAACAAGATATGTAAGTTTTCATGAATCTTTCCTCAACTCTTTAGAATCTGTGATCTTTTTACTTAAGATAATGCTGTATGTAACTAACTGTATGTATTGGATTGAATCAACGCAGGAGGATGGAGAAAGCTTCAAGGAAGGTCTCTGTGTTTGTGTTTGTCTGGTTCTTCTTCTTCTTCTATATTGTTGAGTTTCCCAAGTTTCTTTAGACGGTTGTTTTGATTCTGCTATGGCAAAATTGCCATCTCTGATTCATTTTTGATATTTATGAAGAGCGCAATTCAGGATTTGCTCAAGTTTCTTCCACCAAATCTCAAACATCTTCGTCCAACACTTTGATTCTCATTTACATCATCACAACCATTTTGTTACCCACGCAAAACCTTGTTTGTTGCAAATATTACATGTTTTGTACTGTGAAGTTATATCTTATTCCACTATACTGTTTTTAACAAGCCCTGACTAAACGAAGATATCCATGACAAACGTTAAACATTTCCTTAGTAGATAATGTCTTGTATCTATTACTCTGTTTTCTATTTGCATATCAAGATTTAAGATGTCGCAAAAATGTTTTTTTTTTTCTATTTTCTTTGTTTTGTTTACCAGTGTTACATTACAAAAAGGTAAAGAGAAGATAAATTTTAAAACATGAATATTGAAAATTTGAAGCTATTAGGGAGCTATTCAATGGAACATCTTCAAGAAAAGAAAAACAATGGTCAAAACTTTAACTTAACAAAAAAAGATTCTCGTAAGACAGATTCGTGAACTCTTTTGTCTTGTATTATGATTCAATACCAGAATCAGAAGAGAGATAATCATCTGCCTTAAGACTTGGAATAGAATCATCATCAGATTCACCTAAGGACTCTCTCTTCTTACCAATTGTTGCTTCCTCCATGAGACTATCTTTAACCGCTAAATCCTCTTCCTCTTTGGAAACCATAACATCTTTGTCTGAACCATGTCCCAGAGATTCCTCAGTTGATTCAGTAACCTTCTCAGGCACATCAGCTCGCTGAACATTCTCTGATGCAACCATATCTGAATGATTTTGGACACTCAGAGATACGACGGTAGCTAAATCATTCCCAAGTTTCATCCTTTTGGTCTCTTGGAGATGTAAAGTTGTGTCTATGGTTCTCTGAATCTCAGGGTTAGAAGGAAGAACATCAACGTCTGCCTGCCATCTGTTGCATAGATCATCACCATTGTGAGCAATATCGTTCAACTTATTCAGATTAGGTGTGTTGTGTCTTTGGCTAGCTAGAGAATTGCTTTCCGGGAATTGGCTGCTGATGGATGGGAGACCGTCGAGTGGAAGTGCTCTCGGGTGTATTACAACTTCAAGAGACATGAGAGCGTGAGCACAGAATCCTGCAATTTTCATTTCCTCCTGACATTTACCTGTTCAAAGCCCCGATAATGCATCAGTCTACTTAATGTTTCTGGCTTTTAAAGCTTAGTTTAACTCTTGCCAACAATCTTAGTTACCTGTTCGGAAAAGCTCAAGCCCTTCAGCTAAAAATGCAGGGCGTACTCGTGAAGGAGAAACGAGAGATGCCAAAAAGGCACGGAGTGCTGCAAGCTGAAACTCAACCAGATCCGTAGTCGACTTATTGGGTAAACAATGGTAGGTTTCAGCATTGGCCCATCTCCCTTCACAAGCATTTGTTGCTGTGGTCATTAGAAGATTATCGACACGTTCTCTCCAGCTATCTGACCCCAATGCACCACCCTGAAATCCGAAGGAAACGAAGAATGTTTTATATAACCTATCATATTGTTATAACAGAATCACAAAGAAGAAATATGGTGACTATGAGTAAGATTCAAGCAACTAATCCACAGAGTGTAACTTCCTACTAAGTTTTCAGTAGTGTCAATAAAATGCCGAAATATAATAGTGATAAGTTAAAAGAGCTTACGATGGTGAGAAGAGTTTCCAGTGCCTCAAGAGCTGCTATCTTCAATGAAATTGGGCTACTCGAGTGATTGTGAGGGACTCCCACTTCAAAAGCAGAGTTCTCTGCCTCGACTACTGAATTATTTGAATGCTTCCTTTTTTTACTGCAAGCCTGAAGAAGAGCTCCTTTAGTAAGTGACAAGGTTTTGCTAGATACCGCATCAGACTCTTCTACAATTGTCGGGTCTAGATCCAATGAGGCATTTCTGACAACTTCCTGTGCAAGTTGCATAGCCATTCCTGGTAAGAGAAGTATGTCAGCAGATATTCATCACATCAACCTGAGAAATGGAAATACAGGCAAAGGCAAGATCTTGTGAAACTTACCTACACCCATAGATTTGAGCAAGGTTTTAGTAATCGAGTACAGCTTTATCCTCAATTCTGGCAATAAACATTTCCTGAAGTAACTACTAATAAGGCTCACCACAGATGCAGCATATGGTAAAAGTTGGCTGCAAAATGAATCAACACGAGGAAAACTGTTTTCAGCCAAGACATGAACTACCAAAGGAACAACTCCGTAATTGTCAATGTCAATTGAATTGAGGTAAACTTTCAGTTGAAATATAAGCCTTAATGAGACTGACATGTACATATATTTTTTTTTTTTGGGCCAATGGAGACAAAACAGGTTAAATAGAAATAATAGATTCTGCAATTGAAGAGAATGGAAGGAGAATCGGTTTACCTGCGGATACTCTTTATAGTAGCGACCAAAAGTTCCAATGCCGACGAATGTAAAGTCGGAAGTTCTGCGCAAACCAATTCTTGTTGGATACCTGTCATGAAGGGTGACATGGATCGTGGAAGAGAGCCGTTTACCGCCAGTACTCGCTCAACAAGGGATAGTAATGAGCGAACTGGAATATTAAGCTGAACGTTGAAAAAAAGAATATCAGGATCTTTCAAGGCAAATGGCGTGTTTGGATTATACTGTAGCACACATCAAGAGAGCTGTAAGGAGTCTGCTAAGCAGCAATCCAGATTTTGGACACGGTATAAGCAGTGATATGCTTAAGCAAGGATGCTTAAGCAAGGATGCTTAATCTATAGACCCAAATTGCACACTTAACTATTTATGACCAAACACGAAAAAGCTCACTCTCTCCAGCTTCAACATCAAGAGTAATCAAATCCAACAGAAGAAAAAAGAAATGCCACTACCTTGGATTTGTGCGAGCTAGTTAGCATCGTTGAGCTGCAGAGCATAAGTGCAGAAACTCTGGATACAATCAGTTGTTCAGAGTTCCACGCTGCATCATCCAAACCCCCATTTTGACCTCCCAAAGGCAGAGGAGAGTCTTTTCCAGGAGGTGCCAATCGTTGGATTGCTTTTTTCCCTATTGTTTCTGCAATACATTTTACCATGTTCTATCAGGGAAACTATAGCCGCACGCATACAAAAAAAAAAGAAGCAAGGAAATTAACAAATTACCTTCTTCTAGACCTTGGAAAAAATTATTTAAATGTACGTTTATAGATATCAACAGCTTTTGCATCATCAAGGACCAGCTGCTCGCGTCCCCTTTATTAGCTTTGGGGAGCAATGCTAGAAAGTGGGCAAATTTCTGAAGGTTGAGATAGACGGAAAGAAGTGCACGTTAATATTTCATTGCTAAGTGATGGATATAAAATAGAGAATATATAAAAAGAAGAATACCTTTAACATATTAGGACTGGTTTTCGCAGAAAATATTTTGGAGGCAATAGCGGCTTCAACCTGAAAGGAATAACATTTCAAATAAACTCAATATAACAGTAATAAAATATGAACATATCACAATCCCTAGACATTTTTCAAATAATTATGTAACCACCTAGGCATATGTGCATGTATTCATTAGACAATGAATTGTTCTCATGTAGGTAATCAAAAATGCTCTAATAAACTCATGAAATGAGATATAAATAGATTTAATCAGCGGAGAGCCGAAGAGAGCTGACCTTGTCATAATTACTGTGGACTGCAGCAGGGAACAAGATTACAATTGTACTTAGCAGATGGAGGATTCCTTCCTGCACAGCCAATACCAATCAAAAGTTCAAATTGAGCGATAAGCAATAACTTATATAAACCTTATATAATCATTTATGATAACTCAAAGTCTTGTAGCAATCAGCAATAATCTAAACCTCATATAATTGCTGATTGCTACAAGACTTTGAGTTATCATAAATATTTTTCGAAACAGGAATATCGTTCATGTTATTGCTAGCAATCAGCAATTATATAAGGTTTAGATTCTGCTACATGGGATTCAAACTGACACATAACTCTTCATGTTAAAACATCTAAATCAAAGTAGTAGAACAGTTTTGGCACAAAACTAAGGTTGTAGGATTGAAGCTACCACTGTCTTTTACAATTCTAGGCTGGCTTTAATAATAACACTCAACCAACAGAAAGGGCACCCTCAAGAGGACATAATAACAAAACTTAGCGAAAAACCTCAAGGCCTACATATGGCACTTACCCACAGTGCTTCTGAAGACTCTTCATCCAATAGTTTAATGATTGGCAGGATTACTTTCGCGGCGTGTGAAACTGCATCTTTCTTCGTATTCGAAAATCTAGACAGCCTGATTCAATAGAAAAAAAAAGTATCTTAGATTTCCAAAAGTTCTTTGTTACAAAAAAGCTTGAAAAGCAAACCCAAGGAAATGGTCGAACACAAAGAAACTAATATAAGAGTCTGATGAACACAATGATAACCAACGGACAATGCATAGCAATATGAAAAGTCTCAGTATAGAAAAGCTATGCATTTTCTTGAGGACTAAACAAATATCGAACATTTAATAATATAAGTAAAAGAAGACAGACTTTGCAGAGAGCACATCATCCATATTTCTCTTAAACTAAACCAATCTGGTGTACAGACCTTTTTTTATGTGTTATCAAATACGGAACACGTAATTATGAAGATTACGATTAGGGAAAAAATCAGTAGAACGGATTCGAATTTGTACAGACCTTGTAAGGAGATCAGAGATTGAAGTACATGAAGCAACTCGAACAATTCTAGAACTTCCTGGATTCTGCTTGAAACAAATACAAATCATTTACTCTCAAAATAAAACTGGTAGAAAATGAATAAATCTCACAATAGAGCAAGCCATACATACCTTGATAAGAGATAATAAACTGTTAAACCAAACAGAGTAGGAACTAAAGAAACGATCCGAGCTGCATTCTTGACAAGTTACTCCCATCAAACAAATACCCACCCAGCATTTATCTGGCTACCTCAGCAATAAACAAAACAAATATCGTTTAAACACCAAAGTCGAGAGCTTTCCTCTTTCAATTACAATCCAAATTTAAGATTGATAGAAAAAAAAACACTGTTTAAGACAGATTCGTACCATGTCTGAAGAAATTAAAGCCAGCAACCTCTCAACCCAATCATCAACGGCTGATTTCGACTTAGCTTGAAGCTTCTGGTCAATTGACTCAGATAAGAGCTTATGGGTGGAGATAGTTGATACAACCTTGGAGAGTGACAGAAAGTTTGTCAGAGGCTGCTTCTCGTTGGGAACATTATCGGACAGAAGGTTTCTGAGAATCTTCGACTTCAATCTCGAATCGTACATATCGTCGAAACGCTCAAAAGACGCCATTGAAATAGTGAGAATCGAGAGAGAGAGATAGAGAAAGGGTTTTTCGGGAGATAATTTAGGGTTTTAGGACTGAAGCTTAAATTGCCGTCTTGTTTGTAGCGGCTGCTCGTCGGTAAATAATTTTTAAGATTCAGCTGTTTCAATATTTTTCAAAAAGGTAAAATGCAAAGAAAACCCTGAACTATAATAAGTTTGCAAGATATAACCGAATATATTAAAGGAATCACAAAACAACCCCTAGTTCATTCTAAATAGAACTAGTAACCATGGGCCCATGAGTCCATGACGCACGTAAAATGGTGTTATGGTTTTTTTAGATGGGTAAGTTTAATTAAAACTAATAATTGACCTCAAAATTAGATAAATAATTGGAAATTAGATAGTTATGGGAGAGAGAAAAAAATTATCTCATATTTATCCTCTAATTTTATGTTAATTATAAAAATGTCATTCATCACAATATTTTTTTTAAGTTAAATTAACTCAGCTAACATAGTTATCGTTAATTATCTTTCCATTGGGTTAATTCTTTCTTAAAGACACTATTCATCATCATTATCATCTCATAAAATTTTGAAAACTAACACAATTATCGTGTTAACTCAATTATTATATTAGAATAAATTTATATAGTTACTTGCTAACATTATATGTTAACATACTAACAATACTAACAATAATATCTGATATTTGTTAATATGTTAACAAAGTTAACGATAATATTTGATATTTGTTAACATGTTATCTGACTTATTAGCGTGCTAACAATAATATCTTATACATGTAATTTGTTAACATAGCATGTTAGCTTGCTAACAAATATATGATTCTTATAACATATTAAGATAGTATGTTAACTTGCTAACGCTAATATATAATACTTGTTCTCTGGTCTTCGGTGAATCCATCATTGTTTTCTAGTTATTATTATATTAGAATAAGTTTATGTAGTTACTTGCTAACATTGTAAGTTAACATACTAACAATACTCTCACCATTGTTCTCATCGACATCATCATAGAATTATCTCTAACCTCCACTTTCACATTCACCATCTTGTATATGATAATCTAATTGAATATAAAATTAGATGGTGACTGATTAAAATGGTTAGTGTACCTCTTCTTCTGCTCCATTATCTTCTTTTCGAAGATCAAGTGATGCAAAATTTAAAAAGAAAAAACAAATTGAAAACGAGAGAGATAAAATAAAGAGAGATTGAGAAAAAACAGTTGAGAAAAAGTGTTTGTCGGTGAATGAAGAGAGATAGAGAATAAATGAGTAGTTTTTAGTTTAAAAAACAAAAAGATAATATGGTAAAATCCCCTACTTATTTTGTTGAAAAAATTGTCAATATTGTCTTTTAATTTTGCTATTATCTATTAGTAACTATTGATATTACTCTTTTTAGATTGGGTTTTAATTTGCAAAGTTATTTAACTAATTATAGACTTATAGTTGAGGTTTAGTTGGTGACTTGGTGTCAGTGGCGGAGGGAGCATGCTTTGAGGGGGTCAATTGACCCAGGTGAAATCCAAATTTTTTTTATATATACTTGTATTTTATAAAAAAAATAAAAAAATATTGATAATTTATCCCTGAATGTAAAATAATTTATGTAAAATTTGTTTATAATACATTATAAATTAAAACAATCCCCGTAATTTTTTTTCTAGCACCGCCGCTGCTTGGTGTCCCCTTCTTTTGTTTTAAATTACTTGTTAAAAGTTTTGTTATGTCCTCTTTTTGGGTTAGGAGTTTGAGGAAGTTAAAGAAAGTGTCGATATGGTGTCTTGTTTGACATATACATTTATTTTCCTAATTCATGTATATTTTTCAGTATTTATTTTCTGTTTTCTTGCCATAAGATTGGAACAACAAAACCATATGGACGGAATAAATAAGAAGACCCATGTCTTATATTGTTTCCGACCACTATTTTAGCTAACTAATAATGTCTTGATGCCATAACCCATCTCACCGGTTAGATTTGGTTGATAAATTTTGTTATTATTAGTAAATATAAGATAAATTTGTATGAAAACTTATGTTGTCTACGTTTGAAAGTTTGTTCAACATAATTTTGCATTATATTGCGATAAATTTCGTTCATCATATATTTATATTCATATACGTATTACCAAGTCGGTCTGGGATATTCAGATATCTAACTGTATGGCCATTTTAAAAAGTCGTTAGGTGACAGGTCATGCCTGATTTAGGATCCAGTAACCGGAGATTTGTCTAAATCGAGAGAAAGTTGTAAATTCTATAAATCTAACATAAAAATATTTATTTTGGTTGCGAAACCATATTAAGAACATATATTTCAAATAACTGTTTCACCTGATTATTATTATCCGATGGAACTATGAAAGAAGAACAAGTTGAATTAACTTCTATAAAAACAAAGCATCAACCGATAACTGACTTCATCAGACATCACTATCTTAAGTCTTAACTACTACAAGAAGAGAGAAAACAAAAAACACAATTATTATTCTTCAATTTCTTTGTGGTGAAAAATCCTCAAGTGCACTTGCAGCTTCCGTATAACAGAAAAGAGACTTGTTTCTTGGACATCAAGAAACAAGAGGTCGTCGGAAATACCACAAGAGAATCTTTGGCAGTGGCAGTCCTTGGAAGATTTTCTTCTTCCGTCTCCTCCTCGAGGATCATATCGAGGGTTGTGGCAGAGATGAGGCGGCGCGGTCGTGAGGCTGTGGCACGGCGCACGGTCACGGCGGAGAACGGAGTCAGAGGTTGAGGTGCTAGATTCTGCTCGGCTGGTCGGCAAACAGAAAAGGTATTTTGAGTATCAACCATTTTTTAACAAAAAGGGTTGTGTTCTTTGCGTTGAGCTAAAGAGTTAGGCTTTTAGGACTTAGGAGTGAAGTTTTTTCTTTGTTCTTCCTTTTGGGTGTTGTAATATTGAATAGGCTAGCTAGCTTGACTATGTTTATATAGGAGTTTGCATTAGACAAAATTGTCCTCATTTATTCTTCTAAATAGTAGTAGTAGAATTAATGGAATTATTTCTCAAAAAAAAAAAGAATTAATGGAATAATTCAGACTATTCAATCCTATATTTATCATGTGTTTATTATGACATTAGAGACTTAGTGTAGATATTTTGTCATATCACTTGATATACTTAAAATTATAAAGATTGGCATGCACTTTTCAAAATTTACTCCCTTGGATATACTAAAAAATCGACCAGATCTATTTCCAACTTGTTCTCTTTTTTTTTTCTGAGATAATTAGATTAAAAAAATGCATTTGTTTCAATAAATCTGACTAGACGTCCAACGCGAAGGACAATAAAAAAATACAGCAGTAACAACTTTATGAATTAAATGCATGTTTTGGAAATACGTTAAAGGATTTTCAAAACTCAGCTAGCTTCTTTCTTCAATTCTTCCTTCTTCCAAAAATCCAAAAACTAAATAGCGATAGACTTATATTTTATTCTGAGATATATAAGATGACATCACTGAAAGGATTAGTGAAATGTGTATATGATTTCTATTATAAACTTCTAAAAATAGTTTGAATAAATATGTATATGAATTATGATTGGTATTATATACAAGTTCATTTGTATACTAAGAGTTTATGTGTAACTATAATATATAGAAAAATGTCATTCGAGTGTCGTAACTGGAGAGACGCTGCTAGTTAGTCCAACGTAATTGGTAATCTAATTAAAACAAGAGGCCGATGGCTAGATTACAAGGGTTTGCTCTTTCTATCGTTAAGTGTTGTTTCATTTTCGCCTTTTGGGAATTAGATTTTGTGGGCAAGGGACCCTCCAAATATAGGAAAAAAGAAGATGAACTTTGGTGGTTTCTGCAAATCTTTGTCTCGATTGGGGTACATATTGATGGGAAAAAAAGCTTTATGACTGTCTCTTTTTCGTTTGCCGTACTCTAACGGCAAATGTGAGAATGATCCATCTATAACACTGACGGCTTTTGGCCCTCTCTTCGGTATTGAGATAAGGTCACAAATACGTGTACATCCAGATAAATATACACTAATTGAGATGAAAAATTGAATACCAAAATAAAATTAAGCTCAAGCACATATCAGATCGTCAGATAGATATGGCGTGGTGCTTATCTCCATACTGACATATTCTTAGCATGACTCGAGCTTAAGAATACTAACATTTCCCTAAGAAACAATCCTGTTCCCTAGAATGAACTTCTACTTGCTCATAATTAAACGAAAACCAGAAGCTAGTAACCTTAGCATAAATTATTAATTTCTCAGGTATTAATGCTCATACGCTGAAAAGAATTATTCATAGTTTTACCACGAATACATATATTCAAGTTGTAATCCCAAAAAAAAAAAAAAAAAAATTTGAGCACATAAAAATAATTAAAACGGTTCATAAACTCAAATTGATGACGGTATAGAATCTACAAAGGTAATATCATCATAAGAATAAAGCTTACCACTACATACTAAACTATCAGTGTTGGTGTTCAAATTGACACCTCTAATAAATTAAACATGTTAATCTACCTTGATAGCTTCAAATGCAACGTCAGCTATCCTCTATTTTCGGTTATCCACGTCAAATTACAGCTTCCAATGAGTTCCTTCCCAGGACATATCCCTCTCTTCTTGTATCTCAACAGATTCCTCCCATGCATGCTCCATCAGAATTATTTTGCTTTGAGTGTCTATATTTAAGTTCATTGTGATACTTTGTAAGTTTATGTGTAACTTGCTAATACAAAGATAAACATCATTCCAGGCAGGGCCGTGCCTATGTAAGAAGATTGGAAATCTTGGTCTACGGGCTTTTTTTTTTATAAAAAATTATGCTTAAATTTTTGTGATTATAATAATATTAAGGTCACATATATCAAGATAATATTTTAGTCTTTAAAAAAAATTATAATTCATTATAAAAAAACTAAAATATAGTGAAAATAAGATAATTAACTCGCATATATCATACTCACAATCATTTTATTATTAATATGTTTAACTTTTTTCTAGAACAAAATATTACACTTGCACTAATTTATTTTTTAGCCAAAAACTTATACTAAATTTTTGTATATTGCTTCGGATCTCCATAATCCTGGGCACGGCTCTGATTCCAAGTGTCCTACTATTAATCTTTTGTGAATATCTTGTTTCAAGAGACGCTGCTAATTTATCCAAGCTAAATGCTAATCTAGCCTATAGTTCACGTCTTGATCATAGATATGTACATACAAAAATACTGTACTCGGTATAAAAAAAAGGATGTTGCGACAAGATTGATTGCTATTCTCGTCATGCTTACGTACGGTCTAATTATCAAAGAAACCGCGTGAAATTTGAACATGAGGGCCGATGGCTAGATTACAAGGTTTGCTCTTTTTACGCTTTTAATGTGCTTTCATTTTAGGAATGATATTTTGGGATCAAACGACCCTTCATATATAGAAAAGAAAAAAGAAGTTGTTTGGTGGTTTCTGCAAAACCTTTGTCTCTATTAGGGCAAAAAATTGACGGCAAAAAGCTCAAAAACCCTCTTTTCTTTTGGCGGTGGATTGTGCCGTGTCTCTGACGGCAAACGTGAGAGAGGTCCGTCAATAACAGTGACGTTTTTGGTCTTCACTGCCGTATAATGAGATAAGGCCACAAAATATACGTATATATCCAATGACATATATACTTAGTTAAGCTCAAGTATTGAAAGCCAAAATAAAACTTAAGCTCAAGGATATATCAGATAGATATGGCGTGGTCCTTAGATCTTTCAGGGTGTTACCTATTACATTTCCCTATTTGTACCTCTTTCAAGATTTAAGTGGATTTTGTACTGAATGCATTATGCATATGGATCCGTATACCAGCTTTTGTATGATAAATGTGGCAATAATACAAGATTGACAAAGTTGTAACTTTCTTTATGGGGTAAGGTGGTCCCGAGTTTATACAGAAATAAACATACTGATAATGAAGTTAGGCAAGCAAGCGAAATTCCAATTGTGGACGCCAAATTTCTTTTGACTTCCAGGCACTGTGATTCTTAAATGCATTACTCTACAGGTTATACATACATTCTCAGTGCATTAGGATTTAACAAAAGTTTTCAAAAAGGTAGAGTTTTTTTTTTATATAAACTTTATTTGGTAATTTGTATAACTTTACTTTCTTCGATAACTGGATCCATATTGTACTGAATTTAAATGTATCAAGCGATTTCTGACCCCATATTTTCTATAGTTTGTATAAATTCACGATTTAGATTTTGATAAATAAAAATGAAATTTTTGGCATTAACAATGACGAAGGTGGACAAATTTTTACAGAGAAAAAAAAAACATGCAAGCTTTTTTAGTATCAAAATTTCCAAAAGTTTGTAAGTTTCTAAACTCTTGCCATTTTTTTTTTTTTGAAAACTTGCTAAAACTAATGTTAAGACGTCAACAACTTTTTGTTCCCAAGTGTGCACCGATTTTTTGGTAACTTTAAAGAGAAAAGCAGGTCACAGTCACACAACAATAATTTTCTTTTAAAATTGGTTAATAATTTTTGTTTTTTTTACAGATTTCTGAAAGTAAGCGAGTAAACGATTTTTGTTTGCATTTAAAAATGTTCAGCCGTTGTACATTGTTAGTAGCTTAGTTGCTATGACTTTTGCATTCTAGAAGACAAAAATCAACGGACGAAATTTCTTATCTATATCATGACGTTATTCCTGAAAAACAATTCACCAGTTAGAGCCAATCATCGAGAAGCACATAAAACTTCGTTTTATATATTGTTTACTCCTTAATACGTGTTATCATTAGAAAAAACACACCTGTTACGAACTTAATTACGACTCTTGAAGTAGGTCCTTTTAAAAATTTCATAACAATATTAAAAAAAAAAACAAATTATCTACTCTCCGACGAGTATCCACCATAGGAAATAATGACTAAAAATCATTAAAATAATTAATATTTTACAAAGTCACTCAAGAAATGCAAAGACATTGTCCTTACTCTATAAAACCCCTCTCAAACCCGGTCAATCTTCTTCTCTCATCATCACTCATAACCAATCTTTCCCTTTTCAAATCTTTAAACTTTCTTTTCTAGATCGATTAAATGGCGAGCTCACGATTAGCAAGATTCATAACGGAGGTGGCACCACCGCAATTTGTGACGGTGATGCGGCGGAGAACGGCGAAGGTGCTCGACACGATCAAGGAGGAAGAAAGAGAAATCGGGACTGATTCCATATTTTCTTCTTCTAATTTCAATTCGAAGATCTCGCCGTTTACTTCTTCCTCCTCTTCCTCCTGCTCTGTTTCTTCCTCTGCTTCATTCAGTTCCGGTCTGACAAATTTCCCGGTTACAGAGAACCGGAGCTCTTTTCCGGTTTTCAAGAACTGAAAATCAATTCCCTCTGTCTCCTGAATCAATTATGGGTTTTTTTGTTTTCAAGATGTAATTATGTATCTATGTATATGATTGCGAATGTTACTGCTTCGGATTCCGTTGTAATCGGAAGTGTTTGTAGGTTTTGATTTCTCCGACGATTCCGATGATCGGTTTTATATCCACGACGGGTTGATCATCAAACTCGGATTCAAGCTGTAACAATTAAATCGAAGAAGAAAATATTTTTCTGGATCCATACTTTAACAAAATTAATCGATGGAAAATCTAGACAGCCTGATTCAATAGAAAAAAAGGAAATGGTCGAACAAAAAGAAACTAATATAAGAGTCTGATGAATACAAAGATAACTAACGTACAATGCATAACAATATGAAAACTCTCAAGTTTAGAAAAAGCTAAGCAATTTCTTGAGGGCTAAACAAATATCGAACATTTAACAATATAAGTAAAAGAAGACAGACTTTGCAGAAAGCACATCATCCATAGTTCTCTAAACTAAACCAATCTGATGTACAAACCTTTTTTAATGTGTTATCAAATACGGAACACGTAAGTATGAAGATTACAAATTAAACGGATTCGAATTTGTACAGACCTTGTAAGGAGATCAGAGATTGAAGTACATGAAGCAACTCGACTTTCATATTGCGATACATTTCGTTTATCATATTCATATATTAGCAAATCGGTCTGTGACATGTGAATATCTTACTGTATGGCCATTGTGAAAGGTCGCTAAGTGACAGGTCATGCCTGATTTAGGATCCAGTAACCTGAGATCTGTCTGAACTCTGAACCAAGAGAAATGTGTAAATTCTACAAATCTAACATAAAAATATTTTGGATGCGAAACCTAATAAGAACATATGTAAAATAACTGTTTGACATGATTATTATTATCCGGTTGAAACTATGAAAGAAGAAAAAATTTAATTAACTTCTATAAAAACAAAGCATCAACCCATATATCTGACATCACCAGAAATCACCAACTTAACTATTACAAGACTATTATAAAAACAGCTTTCTTCAATATTATCAAGTGCACTTGCAGTGCAGCTACCGTATAAAAGAAAAGAGACTTGTTTCTTGGACATCAAGAAACAAGAGGTCGCAAGAAATACCACAAGAGAATCATTGGCAGTGGCAGTCCTTCGAAGATTTTCTTCTTCCGGTGCCGTCTCCTCCTCCAGGATCATATCGATCGAGGGTTGTGGCAGAGATGAGGCGGCGAGGTCGTGAGGTTGTGGCACGGGGCGGTCACAGTGGAGAACGGAGTCAGAGGTTGAGGTGCTAGATTCTGCTCGGCTGGTGGGCAAATGAAAAGGATGGATATTTTGAGTATCAACCATTTTTCAACAAAAAGGGTTTTGTGTTCCTTGTGTTGAGCTAAAGAGTTAGACTTTGAGGAGTTAATCTTTTTTTGGGTGTTGTAATGTTGAATAGGCTTATCTATGTTTATATAGGAGTTTGCATTAGACAAAATTGTCCTCATTTATCTTCCTAAATAATAGTCACTAGTAGAATTAATGGAATTATTCAGACTATTCAATCCTCTATATCTATTATCATATGTTCTTAACGCTCGTAGTCCACATTATAACATTAGAGACTTTGTGTAGATATTTTATCATATCACTTGATGATATACTCAAAATTACTAAGTCTGGAATGCACTTTTCAAAATTTACTCCCTTGGATATAGTAAAAAAATCGACCAGATCTATTTCCAACTTGTTCTTTTTTTTTCCTGAGATAATTGGATAAAAAAATGCACTTGCTTTCAATAAATTTGACTAGACGTACAACGCGAAGGACAAGAAAAAAAAAGACAGAAGTAACAATTTTATGAGTTAAATGCATGTTTTGGACATACGTTTAAGGATTTTCAAACTCAGCAAGCTTCTTTCTTCTTCCTTCCTCCAAAATCCAAAAACCAAATAGCGATCATAGTCTTATATTCATTTCTGAGATAAGATGACATCACTGAAAGGATTAGTGAAATGTGTCTATGATTTCTATTTCTATTATAAACTTCTAAAAAATATAGATTGAATTGGTTTATATGATTTGTCTAATAGTATTATTATATTATATATTATATATACTTTTAAGTTCATTTGTATACTCAAAGTTTATGTGTAACTATATTGTATAAAAAAATGTCATCCGAGTGTGGGATTTGGAGAGACGCTGCTAGTTAATCCAACTTAATTGGTAATCTGATTAACCTATATTGAGATTTTGATCAGAGAGATATATGTAACTTAATTTAGAAAAAAAAGATATATGTAACTATTCGGTGTAGAAAAAGAAACATGTTACGATTACATAATATATATTTATTAGGTCATGTTTTCAGTCTACATTGAAAGTAACTTCGCTCTGATGGTTCAAAAGTTGGGTTACGTTAACCGGGTCGTGAGTTCCAAACCTTGACAGTCATTACAAGAAAACAGTTAATTGGCGACGACATTTAGCGACTGATTTGGTAGTTGCTAACTGTTACGACAGCGATTGATTTACCTCCAATTTACGTCTCATAAAATTCAGTCGGCAATTAATCGCTAATTAGCGACTACTTAAAACAATCGTAACTGGGTCAGTATTTAACGACTAATTTAATGACTAATTTACGATAGTCGAGAATTGGCGACTACTTTGCCACTACATTTCGGCCCAAAATAAAAAAAAATGTAAACAAAGCCCAAATCCATTTAAACACTCGAGAAATCTCACCAAAAATTCGAGAACCCTAACCACTTAACAAAAATTCCCCAAATCTCTTCGACGAAACCCTAACCCCTTTCTCTTCCAACCCAGAAATCTCACCAAAAATCCCCAAATCCCCAATTAGCAACTTGTTCTTCAACGATTAGAGGATGGGTGGTCGTGGTGGAAGGAAGAGAGGACGAGGCAGAGGATGTGTGGCACCGTCGCAAGCCAGATCGTCGTCGCCTCTGCCAGGTCGTTACGACTTCACGCCCTCGCCATCGCCGCCGGTTGTCCCCACGCAGCAACCATCAGTATCCGTGAGGGATTATCCACCACTGGCGCAGTTGTTCCCGAACTCGCAGAATCCACATCGAGGACCAGAATCTCGATCTCACGAGCAACCATCTCCACGCGGTCAACAGCAACCATCTCCACGCGGTCAACAGCAATCTGTCTCTCAACAACAGCACGAGCAAGCTTCTGACGCTCAAAGTGTATTTCCGGAAGAAGAAGAAGAAGCTCTATGCCCGGTGAATCTCGTGTATTTCCGGAAGAAGAAGAAGAAGCTCTATGCCCGGTGAATCTCGCGGAAGACCAGCAACGAATTCTCAATGCCTTGCTCACTCAGCCTGGCAGGGAAGCATACACCACAGTCCTCTCTCCCATAAAGAAGCCGAACACAACATGGTATGATTTCAAGTAATCTAATTGCATAGTTTAGGGTTTTTTGGCTAGAATTTGTATGATTGTTTAGAGTTGTTAGGGTACTTGGCTTAGAATTGTTATGATTTAGGGTTTAGAGTTGTTATGGTACTTGGCTTAGATTTGTTAGATTTGTTTATGGACTGTTTATTTTCTTATCTTAGTATTGGGTTTAGGATTGTAACTGTTTCTTTACTTTATTGTGTGCTTGCAGGTTTGGGCGTGACAAGTCTTCCCTGACTCGGAAGATAACAAAAAGTTTCTGTAACAAGTTCGATGGCCCATTTTATAGCTGGACATGTGTGCCTCGGGAGAGACAGGAAAGATTCTTTATTGAATTCGCGGTAAGGTTCTCTATCCATATTCTCCTTTTTTGTGTTGATACATATGAGCCATTTGTTTTTTATTGCTCACTAACATCATCTTCTCTATTTTTTTGGTAGAAAACCCACACTTGGGATCCTTTATTAACCGGTGTGGTTCAAGAAAGGTTTGAGAGAGTATGTCTCCTCCGGATGAAAGACATGGTCAGCAAGGTTAGGGCTTCTCGAGAACAACCAAACTGGATTGGAGATACCACTTGGAAACAAATGACAGAGTATTGGGACACTGAAGAAGCCAAAGAGAAGAGTTCCACCACATCAGCTGCTCGGATGTCTGAGCGTAATGGACTTGGTCCTCATGTTCACTTCTCAGGGCAGAAGTCATGCCTCCAAATCCAACAAGAAATGGTAAGTATATCAATTTTTAACTTTCTCATAAGTTATATATCATCTTTAGTCAGATGGGAACTAACTCTTTCTTTATATTGGTATCATTTCAGGAAGAAGAGTTGGGAAGACCGGTGAGCCTTGGTGAAGTTTTCATCAAGGTTCATACAAAACGAGATGGAACATTTGTAGACCGAAAGTCCAAGACTGTGGCTGAGGCTTATAGGAAGAACCTGGAATCCAAGTTGGCAACTCGCGGGATAGACTCAGAGACTTCAGATGGTACTTCACCATCGTTGGGGCTAACCATAGAAGAGGAGAATGAGATTTTTCTTCAGGTAAAGTCTTCGTTTTTTATTTTTGATATGTTCTTTTATATTATGCTTTGCTTCTATAGCTTTCAAGTTGTTATTTTGTTTGATGCTTTGATGTTAATATATATGCATTGATGCTTTGATCCTTATTTTGTTTTTGCAGTCGACTTTCATAAATGAGCGAGGTATTCCTTATGGAATTGGAAGTCTTTCAGAGACACATGTCAATGGAAAGAGGAAAAGCCCAGGAAGCTCTTCAACATACAAGGGATTGGAAGAGGAGCTACAAGAAGCTCATCGCAAAATAGAAGAACAAGCGGCTGAGAACTCCAAGCGTGAAGCAGAGCAACAAGCCAAGCTGGACAAGTTATCTATGGTGGAGAAGTATTTGACTGAAACTGATCCAAATTTCATGGATTTTTTGGCTGCAAATCAAACTCTTCCAAGTGATCAAACTCACTCTTAAGGTTTTTCTATGTCTCTTTTTTAAGTATCTCGGCTCACTCTTTTGAACTTATCTCAATGGTTAAGTATGTAACCATTTGATCTTTGTTTAGTACCTTTTGGAACAATGGTTTTATGTCTTTTTTTAAAACAATGGTATTATGTAATATAATGACTTTTTGCATTTTGCATTTGAATATTTTTTTGCTGTTAAATTGTTATTTAAAATGTAGAATGGATTCAAATTATCAGATTTGGAAGAATCTAATCGTAAAACTAGATTTTGTTTTCATTTATTGAAGCCGTCGCAATGCAGTCGTAAATCAGTCGGAATACAGTCATAAATAC